TTAGGGTATGGCAATATCAGGACTGCCTGAGTGGGGACACAGAAGATAAATACACAGGATGAAAAGTCATAGCAGTCCAACAGTCCTTTCCTCCTGATTGGAAACAACCTCAGGATGAAGGGGAAGCATCTATCTGAGAAGGAGAATGTGACAGAAGACCCCATGTTAAACGACATCACTCTGAACTGGGAATGAGTGTCCCAGGCTCCACCCTGACTGCTTTACTTACTAACTATGGGCCAGGGATCTCTTTTTTTCTCAAGAACATTTATAATCTTTTAAATTATCTTAACTTCACAAGCAACTTGAGTGTTTTTTCATAACCAAACACTGCTTTTCAAAATACATGACTTTACAGTCTATCCTGAAATTCTTGGCCTGGAATTGCTAAAGGTCTGTGTTTCACAGCTGGTTAATGTGTTCAATAAAAAAAAACAAAAAAACATCATTATGAAGCTTTATGTTTTTCTGGGGGAGGGGGTTACTGGGGATGGAACTCAGGGGCATTTGACCACTGAGCCACATCCTCAGCCCTATTTTGTATTTCATTTAGAGACAAGGTCTCACTGAGTTCCTTAGCACCTTGCCCTTGCTGAGGCTGGCTTTGAACTTGCCATCCTCTTGCCTCAGCCATCTGAGCAGCTGGGATTACAGGTATGCACCACCATGCCCAGCCTACACATACAAGCCACAAAAATTTTAAATTTTATTTTAAGTCAAGTCCTGAATGCAATTTATTACAGATGCTAAATTGTCATATGTTTCGATATATATAAATATTTCTATATACCCACATTTTGGCAAAGAAGATCAAGGACAGAGGTAGAAAACCGAAGGGGACAAGGTCTTACCTAATTCATGCAAAACAGAGATACCATCCTGTGGGCTTTGCTGAAGACCAGGGAGGTGATGCCTATGACACCCTCCCAACTCAGTCTTTAAGAGGTCAGGGAGGCCTGTGTAATAATGTAATATTCCCTCTTTTTCTAAAAAGTAAAAAGGAAAATCCATGAAACATAAAAATATCTGATTTTGTGTTCTTTGTTTTTCTAAGCTAAGTACACATCTTTCAGTACTTCTAGGAAGGTCTCATCATGTTTGACCCAAAACATGAAAACACTTTTCTTTTCCATATAAAATAAATGAATTTGTTTCTTTTAC